GTATCTCAACGACTGTATGGTTTTGCTATGCTCAAACTTCCCTGTTCTTCTTCCATTGCCTATTTTTTTAAAAAAAACTTCCATGTTCTTCATCATATCTTAATTACTACTAGCTATGGGCTAAGTTTTTCACAACAAAAAGGTGAACAGGGCTATGTCTTCATCGGCTTTTGACTGTATTCCAGTGGCATTTACCAAGGTCTAGTCTATCTATAAGTGATTTGATCTTATCATCTATACATATATGGTTTCTTTATGTTGAAAATACATATGGTTAATATGTCTCCTTCACTTTCCTAATTAATCAAAATCCCTTCCAATTAATCTGAAGCTGCTGCTGCTTCATCTAAATGGTTATTATGGTGTGAGTATATAATTGCATAATACTTAATTTGTTTTAAAATTATTGTTATTTTTTATTTTAAATTTATTTTAAATCAATTATTATTTTTATATTTTTAAAATAAATAAATATTTTTTATTTAAATCATATTGTTATCCATTTTCTTTAATTAATTATTTAATCACAAAAATCTTATTTATTTATATATATTAAATATAAATATTATCTTTAAACTTTTAATTTAAAAAATTAGAAAATAATAATTATTTTGAAAAAAAAAAAGCCACTACATATCTCTATGACCTCACGTGGTTGGTGAACTTTTGGACAAATAATAGGAAAACCATATTAGAGACAAATTATAAACAGGGACATTATCCGTCTTGAGTTTGTTACGAAGACATTGCAGATAACGATATTAGACCAACTAACCTAGAATATGAAAATGATTTTTTGGACAATTCTGGTGCATATATTTTACCATTTAATTTCTGATGAATTTCCTTCTCTCTTTGTCGCCGCATGATAACCGATTAAAAAAGGTAACCGATTAAAAAAGGTAGGAGCGAACGTTAACCAACAGCAATTGCGTCATATGATTTTCTTATCATCGATTTGGGGTGTAAGTGGACTGGCAAATCGAAGTAGTGCAGTGTCTATCGGGGATGTGACAGGGTGACAAAAACCTCACCGGTCGTAGACTGTACACAGGGCCCTAGGGAGGGGATGCGGTCCCCTCAACTTTTGTAAAATTTCTAAAATGCACCCAAAATTCTTGAAATAATTACATAACCCTTAAATTTTTATGTTTTATTTTCTGATTTTCTTTGATAATATTTATCAGAATGATAATTTTTTTCTCCCTTTGATAATTATTTTGAATATTTTTTTTCTAATTATAGTGAACTAATAGTAATTTTTGTTATAAAGTACAAGAAGTTATTAATAATTTATTTAGTTTAAGGAAAACAAAAAATAATTTTTTTTTTGTCCAATCAAATTAAGATGTTGGGTTAAAATCTTAATTTGATTGGACGATAAATTTTTAATCTATCCCTTTCTCTTCTATGAATTTCCTTTAAACCAAATTAGTTATATATCTTCTTTCTTGTAAAATAACTTTTGTTTTTGAAAATTGTTTGTTTATTTAAGGTGATTGTCGTGGTATCACTTGATTTTTAGAGATTTATGCCACATTGTCTCCCAAATAAAGCTGCACCATAAGATTAATTAAGATTAGGTATACCAACTCGTAATTTCTTCAAACATCTTCATTTATTATTGTCTTGAATATATTAATTAATATTTTATAATAGTAATTCTATTTACCAGAATTGAAAGTGAAATAATGCAAGGGTATAAATTTTATATTGTCTATATATATGACATATAAATTTAGTTTAATATGATTCTCAATATGTATGCATGTATAACATCTCAAAATATGCATACTTTTTTTGTACTAATTTTTTGGTATTTGAAAAATATATTAAATTATGATTAATTTAAAATTAAATCAAGAAAAATTCTTTCAATACATATTTTTTCATTCATAAAAGTTAAATTTAAAATTAAAAAAAAATTAAATTCTTTTCATCTAAACTCTCAAGTGTTAATTCAGATAAAACAAAAAACATAACAAAAAATGACAAACAATTATAATCGGTCCCCAATTTTCGTCCCCTGTGTTTTGATCCCCCTATCACTATTTACGACACATATAGCGCCGAATAGAATATATTTTTCTTTTTTATTAACATTGATGAAATTTCGGTTAATTTTTGTATATTTTAAAATTAGTTTTTTTTAAAAAATATATTTAATATTAATTTAATATATTTAAAAAAATTAATTTTTATAAGTATTCACATAAAACTGAAACATTGGAGCTGCCGACAATAGGGATTTACTTAGTAAATCTAATACTAAGGGTTGAGTAGAATATTTATTTTAATCTGTTTTTCCTGAGCGGAGGAACGGTGTTGGACTGCACAAATCGGTGTATGTAGGCTGGATATTTATCCATGTGTGATATGTCGCTCAATGATAATTTATGTTTTTCATACACAGTGAGTTTGTTTCTACATGTTTTTCACACGGCGGTGTTTGGGACACAAGTAAAGTAGAATTTATTTTATTTCTAAATAAATTTTAAGAATTTAATTTGAAAATAATTTTTCAAGTTTTAAATTTTTTTAGTGTATTTGGTTTAAATAGAAATAAAATTTATTTTATTTACAAAATTAAATTAAATATGGAATTTATTTGCAAATCCTATCAATTTTGATAAAATTTAGTCTAGTTTAGCTTAATTCTATAAGTTATAATTTTAGAATTTAATTGTGTAGCTTTAAATTAAACCAAATTAAACACTATAGACTTCAAATGAATTCCATAAAAATTTAATCAAAACAAACACAAAGATATAGAATTAATTAAAATTATGAGATTGAAATGATTATCTATTTTTATCAAACTAAACATGATAAGTATAAAATTAAAAATGAATTTCACAATTAAAAATATCATTTATGGATATAGAGTGAAGATTTTAAATTAAAGATATCATATCTAGACAAAATTATAAAACAAATCACAAATGTATCCTAAATAATTGAAACCGTGGAAAACACGAAAGGAAAAAATGGAAATAATTAAGAGCTAATAACACCAATAATATATTGAACAACAACTGTGATTGTTGTATACAAAGTACAGCAATACGAACAAAGTACAACAATACAAGGGCCATATTTTAAAGATATTTATAAAGTTCGCCTGAGAATTTCTAACCGTAAATTATAAAGGTGTTTGCACCAAATCAAGATAATCAGAAGTTAGGGGCTTAAACAAATCGGCGGCCTCAGTCTCAATGAACTCCACCTGTCTCACCGGGAGGTGCACATACACCACCCAGTCGCCATTCTTCATCGGACTTGGCATCGGCATAACGTATCCAGTACGCCCTCCCCATGGGAAGTGATATGACCCGAACGTTGGCGGGCCCCACCCGAAATTCACCTTCGAAACAGGGAAACGTTGTCCGGAGGAAACGACGAATGCTGGTCCCTCGTTGCTCCCACTTGCATAAATCTTTGTCATGGCCGGCTCGGGCCGATGTGCCTCAACCCAATCAATCAAGCCTAAGAAATGCTCCTTTGTTACTGCATTTTTTATGAAATCATGGACCTCCTCTGCCACCCAAGACAGAGGCTTTTCAATCAGTTCCTTCACTTTCTCGCTGCCGAAGGGAATTGACAGAACGTTTCCAAAATATGTACCCATTTGTGATTTTTTATCCGTACATCCTTCACTTAATCTAGTCCTTCCATCCACCACTATCCCCATCTTAGACATCTTGGAGCTATCTCCTGCGGCGGAAATCGCCACCATTTTCCATAAGAAAGCACTGAAAGACTCAAGCTTGGTCCTTTTGGAACCACCACGGCTCGCAAGAGATTGAAGCTCGTCGAGTTGGGCCGCAGTGACATAATATATGCGACTGATAAGATGATCATCAGATGGTTGATTGTTTTCCTTTGGCGGTGGCAATGTAGAAATAGGCACGTACAAATCGTCCAGGGAGACATCTATGCACCCTGGATGCCTGGGGTTCAGCATAGATCGCCGAAAGGATGGCAGCAGAGAAATCGGCTTGGACTGAGCGATTTCTGCCCATGAAACAAGAAACATGTTGGCGGAATAAGCATCAGCAATACGGTGATCAAAAGTGCACGCCACCACTATTCCGCCGCATTTAAGCTCCGTTGCCTAAAATCATTTGCTTCCCAAAATTAGTACATAAAAAAAAAATAAAAATAAAAATAAAAATAAAAGAGTGAAATGTACTCTAGTAACCATTGATGAGGTATTGGCTCCAGTGGCTCTTCTTCTAGCAACCGAAGGTAAACTCTAAAATTACAAACTCAAAATAAATAAAGAAATAATAATAATAATAATAATAATAATAATAATAATGTGCATATATAAATATAAAATTTTTTATTTTACAATTTAAATTACTCTACACTATAAAATAAAATTATTAAATGAAGAGGACCTTAATATCAGGCCACATATTATGTTGTGTTACATACTAATTAATTAGATTAACAGCGGATTTGAGTTAAATTTCAACTGCTATGTGCGCCGCAAATTACCACCGCAAATTACCAAAAGAGGGTTGAAATGCGGTTATATTTTTATAATTTCCCAGAATGCACAAAAGTGGCCATAAAGTTTTTCTTTTTAATAAACAAAATGTTTGTAAATTTAATTTCTGATGTTCTAATGGTCAAGAGCTGGGTTCCATGTAAGTGATGCCTGATGGTCTTTAGTTCAAACTTTGAAACGAGTAATGGTCGGGAAGGAGGTTTAGGAAAAGGGTTAGCTTCCCCATGTTCGTTTTGTCCAAATTTGAGCTAGACCCTGTTTTCAACCCAACTTCTATTTTTCCAAACCAGAAACTCTCCATCTTTGTGCTTTTTTCTGGAATTACAATACTATCGAAATATTGATGAAATATATGGTGTAGAAGATGATTATTTTTTACCTGAACTGCAAGCACGCCGTGCTTTTTTTTTGGTATTAACTTGCCTTCAATGCTCTCATCAGGATTATAGAGGTTGAGGTTTTGAAGTTCAACATCTGCATAGGCCTCGAAGAAATCCACCCCTCTGTAGTTACAGAGAAGCTCAGGTTCACCGATGGAGTTGGGTACAACCTCACCAGCAAAAGCATAGAAGGAGACCAGAGCTTGGGCCATGGCCTTCTTGAGAATACCAACCATCGAACCAAAACAGAGGGTATCCCCTGAAACTGGCTTCTTGTAACAGAAGAAAACACCCACGTCGAGCGGTGGCAGAAGCAGGTCGAGGTTGGAGAGCGGCAACCAATGCTCTTGCAATGGCAACACCGCCGCCACAACGTCCTTCTTGCCCACCGTCACCGTGAAATCTCCTGCAATCATATTCCTCGGCTGTGTTGTGTTTTCTCTGCAATTGGGTGGCAAATTGATGTAGAGAATTGTGGGTCTGTACTAAAGCAAGGGGTTAATGTAGAGACGGAACGTAGAATTTAATAATGTGAACGGATGGTTACTTAGACACGAATTTTTGTCAAGTTCACATTACCATTTTCTGTTAGAATATTAGTATTTAGGTTAGGTTAAATACCTAGTTTGGTCCCTCAACTTTCATTTTTGAACAAATCTACCCTCAAACTTAAAAAAATATTAAAATTATCCCTAAACTTCAATTCTTGGGACCAATTTCGTCCTTCCATCAATGGAAATGCCAAACAACACATTAAGTTGCCACAAAATCAATTCTTATTTTAAATCTTTAATAACATGGAAAATAACTTACCAACCACAACATTTTTGTTGTTCATGTCATATTGCTACTACTTTATCCCTTTCTTTTAAGTAAGGCCCTCCTAAAATATTTCTATATTTTTTATATTTTCAATATTTCTATTAAATCATATTTTCTCTTTTCACCTCCTACCATTCATCTTCTTTAGCTTTAGCCTACTTCCTTTGATCCAAATTCCTATTCACTGGCCTTCCTTTCCAACTTTGACCTTTTACTTATCATCTCCTACTATTCATGATCTTCTCCAAATTTTCTTCTTAACCACTCATAGAAGAACTCCTTTCGATACAAATTCCTACATGAGAGAATTCAAACAGAATACACATACAACCAACTCACAAAATCCCATCAAAATCCCATAAAAAATAAATTCCTTCGATACAAATTCCTGCACAAGAGAATCCAAACAAAATACACACACAATCAACTCACAAAACCCCATTAAAACCCAAATCGAATACCAAAAAATAAACACACACAAAAAACCATAACCCAAATACATATCAAAATCAATAAATTTAAAATTTTCAAATGAAAAAGACCATAGAAATTTGAAACATCTACACCAGCTTCTTTCCAAACCAAAGAAAGAACAGAAAAGAAAAAAAAAAGGAAAGCAAATATGTAAAAGGAAGTAGACAAACACAAATTCAAGTCTGATTCTTTAGCTATTGTTTGCCGGTAATGAGGCCGAGGAACCTAGATCTAAGTTCTCTTATACACCCACCTCATGCTAGCCTCCTACTAGACTCTAATCGATATCTTGCCAACCTCATGCTTGCTTTTCATCAGTCTCTTGTTGGAATGCAAATTGATGTGGAGAGACCAGAAACCAAATCTATTTTATCAAGTCTCTCTTTCATGTGTGAAAATCATGAACAACACAAGACAATGAAAAAGGAAGGATTCATCACTAGCTGTCCCATTTTCATTTTCGTGATCTCACGATGATCATGTGTTGATCAGGAGTTAAAATCACCATTAACGGAGAAGAAAGGAGATGTAGAGGGAGGTGGAGATTGAAAATTGAAGAGGAGGAGAAAGGAAAAGGTAGCAAGTGGAAAGAGAGGTAAGAAGTTGGCTTAGATGGAAATTAGATTTCTTTTTGGTTTCTGGGTTTCTAGGTTAAGCATATTTATATAAGTTAGAGATGGTGATTGGAGTGATGTGCGGAGATGGTGATTGGAGTGATGTGTGGAGATGGTGATCGGAGTGATGTATGGTGTTGGTGATTGGAGTGGTAAAGGATGATTGGAGCAATGAAGGATGATCAGTGCTGAATGAGTTGCAGGATGAAAAGGCATTTGAGGACAGAGAAGGACGAGAAAGGAGAAAAAAAGGGGTTGGAAGTTAAAGATTGGGGTATTTAAGTAATTTAAAATTTTTTTAATGTATAAATTAATTAAAATGACGTGGACAATAAAAATGCCATGTGAGTAAGTTATTTTTCATGTTATTAAAGATTTAAAATAAGAATTGATTTTGTGGCAACTTAACATGCCATCTGGCACTTATATCGACAGAAGGACCAAATTGGCCCTAAAAATTGAAGTTCAGGGATAGTTTTAGTACCTTTTGAAGTTGGAGGGTAGATTTGATTCAAAAATGAAAGTTGAGGGACTAAATTGGGTATTTAACCTTTAGGTTGGAATATTATATTCACATTGATTGTATATATTTAAGTTAATTGGGTTTTATAACTAGGAATATTCTATTTACAAATCTATATATAAAATCTTTGTATATATAATGAAAACAAGAAAGAAGAAAACCTTTCTTCATATTTTTTTCCTGCTTATTTTCTCACATGGTATCAAAGCTTATGTAGCACTCCTCGCTCCACTATTATGTAGCAATTCTTTGTATTATTCGTTATGTTAAAGGAACATTATTTTATAGATTTCATTTTGTTGCTAACTCCTCACTTGTGCTTTGTGCTTACTTTGATGTCGCTTAGACTGGTGATCTTTCTGATCGCAAATCTACCATTGGTTATCATCTTTTCCTTGGTAATTCTCTTATCTCTTGGCGTAGCAAGAAACAAACTATTCCATCTCGTTCTAGTACTGAAGCTGAGTATAGAACTCTTGGTGATACCACATCAGAACTTCTTTTATTACAATGGCTTCTTGAAGGTATAGATATCCCTCAACCTTTTTTTATTAATTTATATTATGATAATTAAAGTGCTATACAGATTGCTCATAATGATATCTTTCATGAATGCACAAAGCATGTCGAGGTCAATTACACTTTATCTGTTATCATGTTGCAAAGGGAACTGCTCATTTGATTTTCATTAGTTCTGCTAATTAGCCTATAGATTTGTTCACCGAGACTCACTTCTCTGGGCACTTTTGAACTCTTCTTTTCAAACTCAAGTTAGTTTCTTCATCATCACCTTGAACTTGTGGGAAGATGTTAGAATATTAGTATTTATTTTAGAATATTAGTATTTATGTTAGAATATTATATTCACATTATAATTGATTGTATACATTTAAGCTAATTGGATTTTAAACTTAAGAATATTCTGTTGTATAAATCTATATACAAGACCTTTATATATACAATGAAAAAAAAAAATTCTTCATATTTTCTCTTGCTTATGTTCTCACATTTTCAAAAAAAAAAAAAAGTCTTTCATTGATTTAACAACAAATAATTAAGTTGTTAACCGATAAAACAATTACAATAATATTTATTAATTAATAGATTAAAATTATATTATAATATTTTCATAAAACAATAACTAACTATTTTAAAAAACTATAAAATAATAAAACCAATCAAACCAAACACAACAACTATTATTTACATGACCTTAACACAACAATGTAACAATAACCAAGGCTCGTTTCACCTTTCATCCATCCCTCTAGTTGTCTCTATAAACAAGTTAATTTTTATAAAACAATAATCTCAGAGAGATCCTCATTGTCTCCATCCCCACTATTTGCAAGGATTGAGATTCCCACAGAAATTTTTGAAAGGAAGTAGATTTTTCCCTTGGTCTTCGTTCTCTGCAAGGATGAGGATCCCCATTCCCCCAATCTATACCAAAATGAAAATTTCATTATTTAAATATAATCAACTAATATTCAAACATAATAAATCAAGTTTTAGAAGTTCAAGCACAACTAACTAAAATTCTCCAAACATAAAATCAAATATAAATTCTCCATATATATAAATAAAGATCAATTCAATTTAATTTAATTTGGTTAAACTTAGATATGAGTTGGGTTGGGTTGTGTAAAATTAGGTTAAATTTAATTTTTTATGGTTGAATTTGAAATATATTGTAATGTATTAGGTTGGCATTAAATTTAAGATAAAATTAATATTTATTTATTTATTTATTTGGGTGGGGATGGGGATCTTTGTAGAGCTTGTAAGGTAGAAAAAATTCTCCGCATAAATTCACAAAAGGAAAATGCTCTTCGTCCTTGCCTCATAAGGACGAATCTTCCTCCTCACCTTACTCTCTTAGCAAGGATCCTTGTGGGTCTGTAGGGGGAAATTGCCACCCCTAGTAGTATTTATCAGTTCTTATAACCACGTGGAAGCCCTTCAACTATTTATCTTTGAAACCATTAGTCCCTCAACACACTCTTTATATACAGTCCATAAACTTCACATTATTACTATAATTGGTTTAAAATAAATAAAAGCTCATCACATGAGTTACATGGCTACCTTTACTTTGATATTCTATCCTTATTAATGCCAGCAAAGGGAAGTTATTGGTGCCAAAATTGCTGCATCGCTTTGCTAAAGGCTTTGTTGACGGTGCAAATTTGGCTGTGTGGATATCACAATTCCCGCCATCAAATCAGGCTGCTTTCGTTGAGCAATGCATACCACAAAGGCGGCAAAGCCTTCTTGGTTCTCGTAACTGTGGCATTCTTCCCTTCGACTCGCGCTTTTTCGTTACTTGTTCTTGCCAGACAAAGTATCACTGTTATGATGCTTGTCCATACTATTTTGTATATCTTTCTTACCTTGGCCTGCAAAGATCAAATCAACTTATAAAACACTCTAAAAGGTTCCACAGAAAAATTAAGTTGCATCTTCTGTGGAACTTCCCTCTGCTAAAAAAAATGGAGCTGGTTACAGTTTCCATCATTTTGCCTTGCAAGCTTAGTTGCAACGTTTCTTAGGTGTTGTAAATTTGTGTTTATGATTAGAAAGGAGTCATACAATGCCTTTTTGATGATCAAATAAAATGCGAAAATGACAAAATGTTATGTTTTCTAATTTGGTTTGAACCAAGATACCATCGGCAAAACTACACTATAGAAATTAACAAACCATTGTTAATAGTACGAGGCCTAGGACCTCAAGATAGATCAAAAAAAAAAAAAAAAAAAGGAAAAAGAAATTAGTTTCGAACTGTAGCTGGTATAAATTAAGAAAAGCAAAGTTCTGGAGTAGCGGCTGGCAGCAAGTTTACCGGGAAAGCCCTTCGAGCCTGTCCGGGAAACCAAACACCGTGTAGATATAAGTTAGTGAGGAGGAGTATCAACTTTCAAAGAAGCGCGAGTGGTAATGTCAGGTTCAACTGTTGCCTCCAAATACATAAAGGCGACCAAAAGAAGTCTGTTTTTTTCTGGATCAATGCATCACAATGATCCAAATCAAGCAAGTGCAGTGCCATCTTACAGTTACAGCTAGCGTTTTGGATCCTTATGCTGCGGGCAGGATCGTATCCTTCTGTGCAGTCTCACCCAGCGCAGATGTCTCTTACGCTGACAAACTCTTTCTTCGTCTTCAATATAGAAACACTTTCATTTGGAACAATATGATCAAAGCTTTTGTTGAAACAAACCAAAACACTAGAGCCCTTTCTCTCTGCAAGAAAATGGTTCAGAGTGGATTCATGCCGAATAATTATACCTTCTCTTTTGTTCTTCGAGCTTGCACTCAGGTCTCTGAATTGTCTTTGGGTGCAGCATCTCATGCCCAAGTTATTAAATTTGGTTGGGAATCATATGATTTTGTACAGAATGGACTGATACATTTTTACGCGAGTTGTAGCTTGATGGACTCAGCACGTAAAGTCTTTGATATGGGTGTTAACCGAGACGTTATTACATGGACTGCTTTAGTAAATGGGTATGTTAAATGTGGGGAAGTTGGAGTGGCGAAGCAACTGTTCGATCAAATGCCTGAGAAGAATGCAGTTTCTTGGAGTGTGATGATTACCGGGGCATGTGCAAGTTGGGTTGCTTAGAGAGGCTCTGGAGCTCTTTAATGAAATGCAGGTTTCAGGGTTTCGGCCTAATCATAATGCTGCAATAGTGGGAGCTCTCACTGCTTGTGCTTTTCTTGGTGCTCTGGATCAGGGAAGGTGGATACATGCATATGTGGATAGAAATGGGATGGAGTTGGATAAATTGTTAGGCACTGCATTGATTGACATGTACGCAAAATGTGGGTGCCTTGAGATGGCATGTTGTGTATTTAATGAGATGAAGAATAGGGATGTTTTTGCTTTTACTTCTTTAATTTCAGGCCTGGCTAATCATGGTCAAAGTGCTAGAGCCCTTGAGTTGTTTGCAAGGATGCAGAATGAAGGAGTTGTTCCTAACGAAGTTACTTTTATATGCATTCTAAGTGCTTGCAGTCGAATGGGATTGGTGGATGAAGGACTAAGAATATTCAGTAACATGAGCAAGGTTTATGGGATTGAGCCTGGGGTTCAGCACTATGGCTGTTTGGTGGATCTTTTGGGCAGAGCAGGGATGCTAGACGATGCAAAGAAATTAGTGAGAGAGATGCCACTGGAACCAGACTCCTTTGTCTTGGGTGCATTACTCGCCTGTAGAATGCACGGTGATGTTGGGCTGGGTAAAGAGACGGTTCAAAGCTTGGCCAAGCGAAGTCTTGACCATGAGGGGTTCATGTGCTCCTGTCAAATATGTATGCGTCAGTTAACCAATGGAAGGGGGTGGTAAAGGTGAGGGAGGAAATGGCAGAGAAGAAGGTCAGGAAGGTTCCAGGCTGTAGCTTAATTGAAGTGGATGGTCAGGTTTGTGAATTTGTTGCAGGAGATAGGTTTCAAGTGCATATGGAGGAGGCCATGCTAGTTTTATTAGGGACTGATAATCATTTGAGGTTTGCTTGGGATGATGATGATAACGATCAATTTCTGACCATTGAATAAGTCATAACCAAGAGCTGATTTTAAACAAACCACACTACAAGATGATAAAGAGAAACCAGATCAAAACACAAGGTACTTTTATGATGTTTTTCCTTCTATTTTTACATTACTTTCCTTCGTGTGAGTGCAGATTTATTCTTTTTCTCGGGGAAAGACTATCCTTGTAATTGTAGTTGTTTTTATTTATTTATTTATTTATTGTTTTTGAATGTTGGGGGTGGAGTTGAACCCCACATCTACCAGACTTTATATGAGAAGTCCTTTACAACGGAGATGTGACCACTAAGCCACAAGGACATTCTCATCCTTGTAATTGTAGTTGATCCTTTGACGCATGCAATTTTTCATAATTGCTAGTAAAGTCACTTTTTTTTTAAAGGTAAAATCAGCTATATTAAGATTCTCTAAGTTAAAGGATTGCTCGGCATCACTTTCTGTCATTGGGCTTAAATTTTAGAAATAGTTTCAGATTACTCACAAAATAGGGAAATTATGATTTCTTACTGTTTCCTCAAAAATCCTCAGCTGGCCTTTACCAAGTGAGTTGGATGTTAGGCGTGCCACTTGCTTTGTCTAAAAACAAGAAAATAGAATTTTTCAGACAACCCCTCTCCTTTCCAGCAGTCGACCTCCAATAGGATGGCTGGAAAGAACGTCTGTGAAATGAATTGCGCCCCAGACGATGTTGCAAAACAGAGGGTAGAGTTCTGCAAAATGGGTTACTAATTGCTTTGGAAACCTCCAAGGACTTCACAACCAAACAACTGTAATAAAAGCTACAAATCCTAAAATAAATGCAATATCCTAAAGCAATTAAACTAACATGAAGTAAAGAACAGAAAATAACATGCCATGAAGATTAAATTCGCAGACAACAGAAAAAGTAAAATAGCAGACAATGATTTCAACTACGCAGCCCATAATAATTAACTAAAACTAAAGAAGAAACTATGAAATGATTACAGTCTAAAAACTTATAAAATCAAATCTGGAAATTGAAATTAAATAAACTGAATGTCTGGATATTGTGCAGAAACAAAAGAACAAAGGTAGAAAACATCCAACCTATTTACATGAACAAATAACATAATTAAATCCATAAAAAGAAGAAGAACTAACCAAATCAAAAGGGCAGACCTGTTTTGAAGGCTAAGTTGCTTCCAAATACTTAAAAATAAATCTAAACTAGAATTTGCGGAAGGAAATATGAACAAAGATGAACAAACCTAGGCTAAGGCTATGAACTAATCTGGAAAATCTGGAAAATCTGGGAAATCTGGAAACTATTGCTGAAATCTGGAAAATGCAATCTGAAAGCTGAAAAACATGCTCTGGGCAGTCTGTGTGTGTGTTGGGCAGGCCTGTTCTCTTCTCTCTGTTTTTGTTCCCTTCGATGCTGGTAACCTCCTCCATAATCTTCTCCATGATCTTTGGTACTGTTCCTCCATTTTTGGCACTATTCCTCCATGATCTGGTAATGGGATTGCAGGTCTGGCAGTTATTTAATAGTTATCCGATTTTTATTTAACATTATCTCCAACAACTTTAAAGATAACTACCTAAAAACCCTCAATTTTCCATTTTAAATCAAACTCAAACTACCAAATCCAATCTTATCTTCTCCCACCTAAAATCCAACCTCCTTGGAAATCCGTCTGAGCCATTAAATTGTAAGCCAGCCCAGCCCAAATACAGCTTATTGATTTTCTTGATGATTGGGCTTTACTTTGACACGCGGCCTTACTCTATTGGTTTATTTTAGGTGTAAACACTTACCCTTTCATCATTTTCCTTTCTAAATCTCAATTATTTGATACTTAAAAATCCTCATAACTAACTGGTCAAAAAGTATAATATCAAACAATTACGGTGAAGATTTTGGTGGCACGCCAAAGCCCTTGATACCAACTCTCAAAGGCTTTATCAGTCTCATATAACTTTGCTTGTTTGAGAGTTGCCACTGAATCATTGAAAATGATAGGGCTTAAATTAAGATTATGAGATTCTGGATGGTGCATGTCAAGTTCTTTGTTCTGCTAGCAATTTGATTTCTTTAGATTAATATAAGCACATTAATGTATACAACAGCAGATCCAAAAATCTAATTTTCTGTCAAACACACTGTTGATTTTGCATGCAGTTACAGTAACTTTAAAATCAATGTTGTTCGTGTGGATTGTGTAGGATTATATTCTTGTTTCTCTGTCAGTATATCAGCGTGCTTCTACTTCAGATTTGAGTTCCAGAGAAAACTTTACCAATGCAGAATGGAAGTTCGCAGCTGAAGCCAATTTAAGGTATTTTTAGTAAATCTTCCAATGTATGGACTCTTTTGACTGTTAGGATAATCAGGGCTGAGAGGTATACAATCTCACTTATATAGAAAGAAAATAATCTCTTATTCATTTCGTATCCATTCAAGTAATCGTTTGATATCCTTCTGGAGTACAAAGTTGAGTCCACATTAATCACCTTGACCTTTAGGTTTCATCAGTGTTTTCACATTGATGGTTGCTATAGTGGTTTTTTTGGAGGACCTGTGATGGCCTTGACAAATTCATTGATGGATTATTCTTTATCTACTATTCTTTACTTCTGTCTAGTATCTAAAGCTGTTGCATTCTACTAAATGATGCGCTACTGTATATGACAACTATAGTGCTGGAACTTGCAGGTGGATAGATTCCATTGCCAGAGTGTGGAACTTGCAGGCGGTGCACGCTGGTTCTAGGTAACATGTTCTTCAACTTTTTCATACATGGTGCTGGAACTTGCAGGCGGTAGACTCCATTGCCAGAGTGTGTAACTTACAGGCAGTTATATGCTGGTTCAAGGTAGCATGTTCTCCAATTTTTTCAATTTTTTGGTCTTGTTATATGTCTAACTAGAAGGGATTCAATTCAAATTATTTATAATCTATTACTTCTATCACTGTTTGTGTCACTATACAAAAACAACTAGCATTATCAAAGAAAGGCAAATGCAAACTCTTGACACCGTTGGAAGTTCAATCATAAAGGCCCATGAGCCCACCATTACAGAATCTACTAGATTGACCTCAAACTGTGCAAAAGTTGATGCTAGGCCCACAACAGGATTCATCCTAAGTGTCGTAGGATTTCAAATACCGAAGGCCAACCCCCTTACGCCACCGCTTTGTACTCAATGGTTTTGTTGAACTAAAGGCTTAAGGTTTCCTCATGACCTCACACGTAAGACTGTGAGTGGCAGTGTTACCATTTGTGGGAGGATAAGGGTTAATTGCTTTAATATCAATTTAAATAACTTGAATTGAAACTTCTATCGACCAAACAACTCAAGTTGAGATCTATGTGACCCTTAGAAACTTGAACTTAATCTATTAGTTGGAGTTGGTAGCGACATATATCACTCACAAATCAAGCCCATTCTTGCACGGTTATACTAAAACAACATAACGTTAAATAGGAAAATTCTTAATTTTTTTAAGAAGTAAAATTCACTGTTACTATTCTTATATATATATATCTCAACATAACTTTAAAATTATGTAATTTTAATAAACAAAAAATTTCTGTCATATGTAAGTTATTTTCAACATATAATTAACGAACATTTAATGGGAACAGTATTTTATTTTTATGAGCAAAAATAACCTTAATTTGAAATTAAAATTAAAAATTTTTAATTTTTTTATTGTCAAATAACTAACCTCTAATATATTATAAAAAATAAGCTAGTATCTCAAAGACAGGCGTTAGTGTTGTCGTCTGACTATACAATTAGGTGAGAAACTACTGTCCTCTGTTAACTAATATTTAACACTAACTACCGTAGAGTAATTAAGTTGTCTCTTGAGACATCAAATTCCAATTTTCATTTCAGATGTAATGGATACATCAGGTCCAATTATTAGTTTGTCCTTCTCATGCCAACACTGCATCCCGTCTCTTTCTTATATGTGTGTGTTTTTTAAAAATTTTTTTTATTAAGATACATTTCATTGTAACGTCATCATCTCTGGAAATTTATTTTCTATTACAATTACAATTATAATATGAGACTATTATTTTCATTTTTTTATTCATTATGATCGTTCTGCTTACATAATTATAACCCTTTACAGAGTTTTCTCAAAATAGAAATAGATTACCTACATCATTTCCCTTTTTTTAAAAAAAAAAAAAAATCCTTTTTAGTTGTTATTGTCTCTATTTATATAATTATATGGTAGGTCATTAAAAATTGGTTTTTTTTTTTTTATGTATGCAAAAATTACTCAACAAAAATTATGTATAAAAACCAAAAAAATCATTTATCATATAAAAGCATTAAGTTAAACTACGCGCAAAAATTAAACTAGAACAAAAAAAAAAAAA